TTCCCACCCCCAATTCATCATTTCTCCCTTCCCTTCTCACACCCCCATTCATCATTTCTCCCCTTCCCCATTCATCCCTTCTTGCCCCCATTTCGCCCTCTTTTTGTCTCCTCCCTTCCCCCCGTCTTCATCCCCTCCCCTTTTCCCCCTTTCATTGAGAATTTCCACCCTCCATTCTCCTTTTCAGGTTAATTCTCCCTCCCCATTTTTCTCATATATATTTATATATATTCCCTACGGCTTTGGTGCCCTTCTTTCTCATCTGTTCCCATCACACACACACACCCCTCCACACTTTATTCGCTGATCTCCCATGGACAGTAACAGTCTACCTTTGGCTGCCAGGGGCTCTGAAGGAGCCAGGACCGATCCCTGCGCTCAGCCCCCCCTTTCTCCAATATGTCCTCAGCTCCACATGGCCTCCGACCTAGTAGATCACTGTTGCATCAGATTCCGTAGGTCCACATGGCATCTTTCTTCCAAGAAAGATTTCCTTGCTTTGCATAACGCAAGAGACCAGGCAGGCCCCACCCTGAAACAACAAAAAAAACACACACACACCTTTTTTAAATCAAGGATGTTGTGCAAAGGGCTGACGACTTGACGAAATGACCCACCGATGCGTGTGTGTGGGGTGAAGTAACTGATTCAGCAGACAAGCTATAATTAGACTCATGAGATTTTCTGCCAGTAGTTTATATGTAGTGTTTATTAATGGTTTTTTTTTGGGGGGGGGAACAGGAAATTCAACTTCCTCTGTCAAAAATTGGATTTTTAGTCCAGGGGCCTTAAGCTATGGCGAATGGCGGTGAGAATAACATTCAGTATCTGCGGGTCATCCCCGAGTCATATACACTTCCTTAAATGGGAGATAATTATGAAAGTACTATAAAATTATGAAACCTGCAGATTATGGAATCCGTAGATGTCGCCGCATAGGAAAAGGCTTCTTAAAAGATTAGTGTGTATTTCTGGTGGTGTGTTGCTATCTTTGTTATCCAAATGTATCTCTGGGCACCAATGCTGACTCTTGGTTTAACCCCTGTACATAGCTGGTGTTTATTACATTCTCGCCCTCCCTGTTGCTAAAATACTTCTGGGGGGGGGGAAGTTTATCTAAACTTCCCCCCCCCCCTGGTTTCTGAATCTCCCTGGGGAGTCCTGATGTGGACTAATAATAAATAATAATAATAATACCACCTACTTAGATGTTACTTTAACAGCTCTTAGACTTAGGTCCTTGGTTAGGACTTGAACTGATAAGTTTTTATCAGTCCAGACTGTGAATCAAATCGAAGATTAAATCAATAACAATAATAATAGATAAACTGATTTTTTTTCAGAGCCAGCTGTCCTTCTTAGTGGGTGAACTTTATGAGGCTAGCTTATTTTTTATTTTATTTTTTTGCAAAACCCTCGCTCTGTTGGCAAAGACCCAAGTCGCACTTTGACCTTTTGTAAATAGCACACTTGGAAGCGCAAGTCCCTCTAAATTGTGTCACACTGTTCCTTGGCCTTCTAAGATTGTGTCTATTTTGTTCTGCCCAATCGGCGATGGTTCCACACACACACGCACATGCCCACACCCATTCGCCAAGTCCTGATTGTTGCGTTTCTCCCTTCCTTTGAAACACAATGTCCTAAAAAAACGGGTTGTGGCCCTGCTGTTTTTGTCCCACGCGGCTTCCTTGGAGCCGCGTAAGAGAGGCCTTAAGGTCATCTCCTGGCGTTCCGTCCAAATTGGCCTGAGCAATTGTGCTTTGAAAGCGTAACGGGGCTGGGGAAAGAAAGATTGCAGGGTGTTCTCAGTGTCTGCTGAAGGAGAACCTCTGATCATCAAGTTAGATCTTTTAAATCAAGCAAGAAGATCAACCTGGTATAAAACTTGTTCCAAACGAGTGACTTTAGTGGCAGCAAAGTGGCTTTAGCTAGAGGTGAACCCTTGATGCTTCGAAGTCCAGCTAGGATAGTTTTTAAGCTTGAGGCTAAACTGTAGAGCTGAGCTTAGCTTTTAGGGCAGTGATGGCGAACCTTTTAGAGACGGAGTGGCCAAACTGCAACCCAAAACCCACTTATGCATCGTCGGGTGCCGGGTGGGTGTGGCCCATTGGCTGGGCGTGGCCCATTGGGTGGGCGTGGCTCCAGTGGTAATGGCAGACTGGGTGGGACTAAAAAGTTCAATCAATCAATTCCAACTTTGCAAGATCTTTTTTTTTCCCACGAGAAGTTGAAATTGACTGATTGATTGAATCTTTTTTTTTGTGCACGGCGGCGGAGGCCTAAAGCAAAAAGGTTTTATAAAACCCAGCTGAAGGCCGAGGACTGGGGCAATGGCGCGCGTGCCCACAGAGAGGGCTCTGAGTGCCGCCTCTGGCACCCGTGCCATAGGTTCGCCACCACTGTTTTAGGGTGTCCTCACGCAACACGCGTGCTCAAAACAAACCAGGGTTTGTGAACTGAGCTCGAGACTCTTAGAGGGCTCCTGGTTTGGGAGAAGGCGGCTGCACAAATCGGGAACATGGCCTTTTCCAGCTGTTTAGCGTGCCAACGTCTTCGCAACTTATTCCATTGTTCTCTGAGGCAACAGGAAATGCTTATTTGACTTCCTTTCCTTTGCCCAAATCCTTGAAACTCAACTTGTATTTGGTGATGCCTTCCCCCCCCCCTCCCAAACTAGGCCAACGTAAAAGTTCTCAGAATGGTTCTGAAATGTAGCTCGGCTCACTGGCACGATCTCTCTCTCTTTTTCCTCTCGCTGCGATTCTGAACTTCTGTCTGCCCTTTGGGGATAACTGTAGCTTGAGGCGAGTAGCAGACGGCCCTGTTTCTCTTTTGCAGGGGCTTCGTCTTTTTGTAAAAGCTTTGCTGGAATTAATGGTGTGCGAACTTTGTGAAATAAGGGTTTCTTTGTGGTGCGGGTTATTTTTTTTCCTTAGAAAGCCGATGGCACAATGGAAATTAAACCTCTTTTAGTATCAGCCAGCAACTTCTCTTTTTAAAAGGTATCCAAGCAATGGAAACACATGGGATTTTCCAGCGTTTACAGCACAAACAATTGGGGCTTCAGTGTAAAACATTTCTGGTTGACATAAATGCAGAATTATCAGGAAGGATATCCTGCAGTGACTTCAGGCTTGTGGGAAGTTGCATTTTGGTAGAAAGTTGTGATCTGCAACTGCATTTTTGTGGGAGGACATTTGTTTAGAAAAACCCCATTGCTTTGAGCAATGGGTTCAACTTTCTTCCTTGGGGCCAGACAATCACATGCGAGCAGAAATATTTTTCTCGCTGCAACAGTTAAATCACCAGCAGGACGGGGATGATGGGACGTGTGAACCCAACATCTCTGCAGTGGTCGATCAACCCCCGACACGTCTTTTGTGCAATCCGGCAAGTTTGTATTTGTCAGTACAGAGGCGTGCATTGGGCTTGCAATGTCCCAGCCTATGATTAGATTCGAAAATCATTAATTTGGGCAGGAAAGATTTTGTAATGAGACATAATGATAGGGAATATAACCTCAGATTTTTCTTTGAAAACGTTGGGCTGTTGCGGGGTGTTCTTTCCCAGTTGGCACATGCAACTGGAGAAAAAAAAAACAAAAAACCTTGGTATATAGTAGGACTTGCTTGGTACGGCTTAAATATTAATTCATTTCCGGCAGCGAAGAGTTGCATCGTATTTTTGAAACTGCTGGTTATTTTACAAAATCTTTTAAAACAGGGCTGGACAAAACTACGGCCCCTTCGCGTCCTGTGGACTTCAACTCCCAGAATTCCTGAGACAGCCACGGCTAGGGAATCCTGGGAGTTGAAGTCCAGAGGACGTAAAGGGGCCGTAGTTTTTTCCAGCCCCGTTTTAAAAGATTCTGCACGTCATTTTGATACACAGTGGAGCTTCCCCTTTGGTTTTGCTTGCCAGAAGGTCCCAAAAGCAGATCACATGATCCCGGGACTCTGCGACCGTCATAAATACGAACCGGTTGCCAAACATTTTTGAATTTTGATCACGTGACCATAGGAATGCTGCAAGCGTCATCAGTGTGAAAAACGGCCGCAAGTCGCTATTTTCAGTGCCGTTGTAACTTTGAACATTCACTAAACGAACTGGTGTAAGTTGGGGACCACCGTGAGCATCCCACTTGCCAAAGGTTCTCCTAGCAGTTATTCACAGATAGGCTGCCTCTGAACAGGGAAGCTCAACGGAGCAATCTGAGTAAAAGGCTTTCTGGAAATTGTGCTCTCCTTTTTTCTTTTTCTTTTTTTCTAAAACATTTTAGCAAGAATCCCCAGGGTGTCCAGAGAAAAGAACAAAGCTTTTGTCCAGCGAGTTGAGATTTCAAGCTGGCTCAAGGCAGCTGAGCTTCGTCGAAAAGCCGTGCAAAATCCAGGGGGGGGGAGGGAAAGGAAGGTCAGCTGAAGGCACACGCGTGTGAGCAGTTTCCCCAGAATCCTTAACTCCTGGTGGTGTCTCCATCCAGGCCCCTGCGCGCCCTTTCCGAAAAAGCTGAAAGTACAAAATCCTGCTTTCCAATCTGCAGCCGATTGACTGGATCTGAGAAATAGGTGTGCCTGCGTCTGCGTGGATTTGATCCACGGGCACAAGAAAAAGCAGATCCCCCCCCCTTCTGAGGGAGTCATCATTTTGCGACAAGAAGCATCAACCTTTGCAGAAAAGCTGCAGTGTCAGCAAAGGTCTGGGGGGGGAAAAGTGCCTTTTCTGTGCTGATTCCTGGGAGAAGTAACCGAGGGCGGAAAGTGGTGGATGCAGCAGGATAATCTCCCTGGAGAAGGAGAAGGAAAACCACTTGCGATTAGCTGACCCTCAAGATCTGGGATAGTTCCTTTGTCCCCTTGCGAGGGATTGCTTGATCCGTCCGGCCATCTGGCAGCTGATCCTGCCTGAGCAGGCAGCTATTAATGGTGCAGTGCATGATTGCATGTGCTCAGAAGGACAACGGGGGGGGGGGGGGGGGGGTGTCCCTTGGGAAGCACTAAAGGTTGAAGGGGGGGCAGGAATGACTTGATTAGGCTGTTCCTCAAATAGGAACAGCAGCCACCGCCCCCTGCCTCCCGACGGAGGGTCTCAGAACAGAATAACAGAGCTGGAAGGGACCTTGGAGGTCATCTAGTCCAACCCCCTGCTCAGGCAGGAGACCCTATACCACTTCAGACAAATGGTTGTCCAATCTCTTCTTAAGAAACCTCCAGTGATGGAGCACCCACAACTTTTGTTCCACTGGTTAATTGTTCTCACTGTCGGGAAGTTTCTCCTTAGTTCTAGGTTGCTTCTCTCCTTGATGAGTTTCCATCCATTGCTTCTTGTCCTGCCTTCAGGGGCTTTAATAATAGTAATAATAATAATAAAGTTGGAAGGGACCTTGGAGGTCATCTAGTCCAACCCCCTGCTCAGGCAGGAAACCCGCTGTCCAGTTTCTTCTTAAAAACTTCCAGTGTTGGAGCATTCACCGCTTCTGGAGGCAGGTTGTTCCACTGGTTAATTGTTCTAACTGTCAGGAAGTTTCTCCTTAGTTCCAGGTTGCTTCTCTCCTTGGTGAGTTTCCATCCGTGGCTTCTTGTCCTGCCTTCAGGCGCTTTGGAGAATAGCTTGACTCCCTCTTCTTTGGGGCAGCCCCTGAGATACTGGAACACTGCTATCCTGTCCCCCCTCGTCCTTCTCTTCGTTAAACTAGACAGGCCCAATTCCAGCAGCCTTTCCTTATATGCTTTAGCCTCCAGTCCCCTAATCATCTTTGAGAGAATAGCTTGACTCCCTCTTCTTTGGGACAGCCCCTGAGATATTGGAACACTCCTGCTAAAGCGAGCGGCTAAGCAGGGCCCTGTGGTGGGGGATGAGGGGCACTGTAGTCTTGGCCAAAGTGGACCTGCTTTAGGCAGAACTAGGTACCCTGTAGCCCAGTTTAGATTTTGCACCGTTCAGTCCGACGTTGTTTGTTGACATTTCCGACTCTGTTAAAAGAGGCCAGCAAACGGTTTTTGCAACGGCGTGCAAGGCACGGCTGCGCCAGCGAAAATATTTGCTCTGCCAGAGCAGCTATATTACGCCAGAGCGCTTGCTTTAACCTTTAGCTTATTTTGTAGGAAGGCCACTGCGAGGCCCGTGGGTTCTTCTCCCAAACAGCCCCGAATTTTATTTAAATTTTTTATTTTTTTTTATTTTATCTTTTCCTTGGCACGTTAGTTTGAGACGTCCCTCTGATTCCGCACGGAGGGAAGGTCTCCGCTTCGGCTGTCTGGTGGGCAGATCGTGGGAGGCCGGGCACAACCTGCTACAATTCCTGCGTGGCACACACACACACACCCAAGTAGAGCCTCCCTGGAGAGGCGCAAGCCATCTTTAATACATGGTGGACGCTGCTGGAGCAGAGGCTAAATGATGAGGGATCTCTTTTAGCCCATAAGGTTAGCCTTGCCCAGCCACCACTCAAGCCTGTGGGGTTGCATAATTTGGCGAGAATGTCTTGGGATCTCTCCTTGGCTGTTTTGCTGAGGGGGAAACTGAGGGCTGGGGCAGCTGTTTGCCAGATCCAAGCAAAGTTGGACCTTAATGTAGTCCTTTCTCACCCAACCCCTTGAATGACCTCAGGAAACCCTGCAGCTTTGCAGAAACCGCATTTGCAGTCAGCTGAGAAACGCAATGCAGCAAAAGTGGTTTTTTTCTTTCTTTCTGGAAAACTCTTTTCTGTTGCTTTTTTTTTTTTTTTCCCCCTTTCCTGCCTGATTTTCACATGGCCCCCAGTGGCCTCTTTGGGGGTGCTAAAGACAGCAGGGATGTCGTTTCTTTTGAAGCTGTTGATCTGCCCGTCCTGAACATACCCTAAGTTTGCCAGTTCCGTGGCTGAGCTTTGATTTGGGGTGCAACCCCAACCCCCCTTCTTACAGCTGGAAAGGAAATCTCTGATAGGGGTCTTATTTTCTGGAAATTGAAAAGCTTCAATTCACTAAATGGGGGGCGGGGAACTCTCTTCCCAACTTAGGGAAAAAAACAACACCTTTGCCAACTTAGGACCTGTGGGGGGACTTTGAATGTGATCTTGTGGAATCAGAGAGTGCAGGATGAAATTGGAAGAAAAGTGATGTCTTTCTCTCCCTCCCTCCCTCCCTCCCTCCCTCCCATCCATCCCATCCATCCATCCATCCATCCATCCATCCATCCATCCATCCATCTATCTATCTATCTATCTATCTATCTATCTATCTATCTATCTATCTATCTAATCTATCTAATCTATCTAATCTATCTATCTATCATCTATCTAATCTAATCTATCTATCTATCTATCATCTATCTAATCTATCTATCATCTATCTAATCTAATCTATCTGTCTGTCTGTCTGTCTACCTACCTATCTATCTATCTATCATCTATCTATCATCTATCTATCTAATGTATCTACCACATCTATCTATCTATGAATGAAATATATTTGCCACCCATCTCGTACCCAATGGGCGGCTTAACAACATAAAAGCATTACAAACATGAAAATCATCCATCATAGAAACATAGCTGATAAAATCATTAATAAATAAAATAGTTAACACCCAGATCTGCGAAGGAAGGAGACGGGCACCCAGGCAGGGGGGGGTTAGCAGATAGAAGAGTTCCTTGGGGACGGGGGGGGGGCGGCTATCTCGATTTAATGACTTAATCCATAAAAGCTGCACCCGGTGGAGGAAAGTGAATTAGCTGGGTCTGCGCCAACCTAATGCTTTGTCTCTTTTCATATCAAGCTTTCAGGATATTCTGCACCACGCATATTGAGCCTGGTCTTCTGGCTTAGCCTGCTTAATTAGAATTTTAGAGTAGGTTTGCTTTTTTAATCGATAAAAGGTTATGTTGGGGTTTCTTCTCTCTCTTTTTTTTCCCTAATGTTGGATTTTTTTCTTTTCTTTTTTTGGTACTTTGAATTTTGCAGATGCGGAGGGACGGTGGGGGCCATCTTCACCTGCCCTTTGGAGGTGATCAAGACAAGGCTGCAGTCCTCAAGATTGGCTTTCCGGGCTGTCTACTATCCGCAGATTCATCTGGGCACGCTCAGCGGTGAAGGCGTGGTCCGCCCCACATCTCTGCCCCCAGGTGTCCTCCAAGTGCTGAAGTGAGCGTCTTAAAAAAATGTGGTCTTCGCACCTATCTAAAGATTTCGTATCGTCGTTTGTCAGTCTCAAGCATGGCTGGCTGGGGAATTCTGGGAGTTGAAGTCCACGGGTCTTAAAAATGGCCACGTTTGAGAAACACTAGTTTATATCTTAACCTTTAGAAAAAATATCGGAAAAGTAAGAAAAATTCCTAAGCGTTTTGCACTCGGGACCCTTTCCACTTTTAAAGATTGTGGAGGACCCTAGAATTAACCTTTTCTCCCCGATTTATTGCAATTTACCACAGTTGAAAACCGAGACCCTTGTAGAATATTTGTCTTTTGAATTGGGGTCAAAGTAACAATATGAACGCACACACAAACACACACACCAGGCATCAACGCAAATAAAAGATTTCCTAAGAGTAAACAACATTTTTTTTTTTTTGAAACAAAGGCGTCCTTATTTTGTGTTTGCGTTTGACCGATTCAAAAGATCAAGCAAGAAGAGCGACTTCGTTTCTTTGCACGTATCTTCAATATCCAGCAAATGGTTCTGTAATTTTTCAGAGTGGGAACGTTCTCAGGGAAGGATACCAAGTGCCAGGGAAGGGGGAAAAAATGCTTGCTTGGTGTTTTAAAAATATCCCACCCTACGCACACACACCTTGGCAGCGTCTCTGCTGAGTTTGCATGCGTTATGTAAGCGCAGAAAGGCTGGAGAGAGAGATGGAGGGTTGGGTGTGGGGGGGGGGTCTGGCCTTGGATAAATAAATTTTAACAAAAGCAAGTTGTTTTTTTAAACGCCACAGTTGCCAGTTTAACTTAAAAATGGCCAAGCTGTCCTAGCTCTTGGCAGCCTGCTGGCCTGCTCCCTTTTTAAAAAAACTCTCCTTTCCCACGGAAAATGGAATTAACAAGTCTCCCCCGAAGGTGGCTGTGAGCTTGTAAACACAATGCAGGGTTTGTGTTTCCCCTGTCGGCTCCAGAACCACAATTATTTCTTATTTTCAGCAGGCGAGCGGATGGGGTTTCTTGGAAACACAAGAGCCCGAATGTTCTGGACCGATTTCGGTGTGTGTGTGTGTGTGTGTGGCACATCTCAGCCTGATTTGCTTAAACGAAGTGCAAAATTGGCCAGTCCCCGAACAGCTGAAAAATAAATGCAAAAGGAAGAGAATCTGATCAGGGAAAAACCCAGCGGTGTGTGTTGTAACCTGAATTAAAAATTACTACCTTGTGGCTTTCCTAACACTAGTCTCAGGTTTCAGTCCTTTTTAATTGCCAACTGCTTTGAACAGATCTTCTGAAGTTTCTCCTTCTCTCTCCCCCCCCCTTCTTTTTTTGTTGGTTTTGTTTTGTTTTCCAGGTCCATTTTGGAAAAGGAGGGCCCAAAGTCACTTTTCCGTGGGCTGGGGCCCAATCTGGTCGGAGTCGCGCCCTCCAGGTAGAAATTTAAGGGCAGTTTTTCATTTTTTCCCCCCCAAGAGGGTTCGTTCGCTGGTGGGTGCAGGGATTTGGGGCCCCCCGAGGGAAATACTGGTTTTCAGGAGTTTCTGGATAATTGTGAAGAATGTGAGGATTGCGACTTAGACCCTCCCGGTTTTCAAGGCAGAAATGGAAAACATATAGTGAAATATATCTGCTCTGCTGGCGATTGGGAAATATTTTTACTAGCTATCGAACTGGGGAAAAAGACTGCTTGGATCCCCCTTGAGTTTGCAATTGGTATTGCAGCTACTCCTCAACTTATTGATTCATTCGTTTAGTGACCATCCAAAGTTAACAAGAGCACTGAAAAAAGGGACTTGTAACCCTTTTTTCACACTTGCAGCATCTCCACGGTCACGTGATCAAAACCGACTCATATTTATGACGGTCGCGGTGTCCTGGGAGGGGGGGTCACTCGATCCCCTTTTTGCAACCTTCCGACAGGATTCGCTTCACACCCGTGTCGCTAACTTAACAAGTGCAGCGATTTGTGCTGAACAATTGTGGCAAGAAAAATCGTAAAACTTGCCGAACAGCCGTCTTTCTTAGTCGTGGAAATTTGAATTGTGGTTTTAAGCGGAAGGCTACCAGCACAGGCAATCCTCCACTTAACAACAGTTCATTTAGTGACCGTTCAAAGCTACAACTGCACTGAAAAAAAGTGACTGTTTTTCACTGGACCGCTGCGGGGTTGGACTAGATGACCTCCAAGGTCCCTTCCAACTACTACTACTACTACTACTACTACTTCTCCTCCTCCTCCTCCTCCTCCTCCTATTATTATTATTATTATACATTGTTATATAATAGTATTAGAGTGTAGTATTGTAATAATAGTAACTGCGGCAAGGAACGTGGTAAAACGGGGCAAAACTCACTTAAGAAATGTCTTCACTTAACAACAGAAATTTTGGGCGTAAGGCAAGGACTCCCCGTAATTTGTTTTGTCTCTTTGCAGGGCTGTTTATTTTGCGTGTTATTCCCAGGCGAAGGAGCAATTCAACCACGTCTTTGTACCCAACAGCAACATCGTCCATATCTGCTCAGCAGCCTCCGCAGGTTGGTTTACCTGTCCCAGGTGTGCCAAGTCTGGCTTGGCTCGTATTTGTCCAGCTGGACCGAACAAGATGCCACTTTGAGGGTGAAAATGATATTTCAAGGCCAGCCTGGGACATTCTGTGGGGGGACCTGTGTTCACCAGGCTGTGTTTTCCATTGTGTTTCGCACAATCGGATTGTCCTGCCCTCTGCAGCCACAGAGCGGGCTGGCTGGGGAATTCTGGGAGTTGAAGTTCCTCAACATCTTTTGAAGGGCTGACCCCATCTTTTTTTTTTTTTTTTTTTGCTGGTTTTCCTTGCTCTTCTCCAGCTTTTGTGACTAATTCCATGATGAATCCCATCTGGATGGTGAAAACCAGAATGCAGCTAGAAAAAAGGTAAGGGGGAGGGGCACAGCCGGAAGGGAATTCTGGGAGTTGAAGTCCACGCACGTTAAAGCCGCCGACGTTGGGAAACGCAGCCCTGGAGCCTTACATTTTAGATATATTTCTGTTTTGAAATATATTTACCAACTAGTTGCAAGCACCAGGCGAACTATTTAAAATCTAGTGAAACCAACTACTCGTTTGCTGTTCATTTCTGTCGGCTAGAGTCCGCGGCTCAAAGCAAATGAACACGCTGCAATGCGCCAGGTACGTTTACCGCTCCGAAGGCGTCCGGGGTTTTTACCGAGGCCTCACCGCCTCCTACGCGGGCATCTCCGAAACCATCATCTGCTTTGCTATTTATGAGAGACTGAAGCAGCTCTTAAAAGACCCCGCGCTGTCCCCTTTCACCGGAAACCCGGAGAACAATTCCACCAATTTCTTCGGAATCACGGTTGCTGCCGCCATTTCCAAAGGATGTGCGTCGTGTATCGCTTACCCACACGGTAGGTTTTTTTTTTTTCCCCCACCCAGATATCTTAAACCTCTCCCGGCCTAGCGAAATAGAACCAAGAAAAGCCAGGCCTTGAGGAATTTGCCTCTTTTTGTTGTGAAAATCAAGTTTCTAGTCCTTATAGTTCCGAGCAAAGCTTGCTCTGGGAATTCCTCCCAGCAGCGTTCCTTTGTCAGAGAAAACAGCACAATTGCACACTTTGCCGCAGAAAAAGAGGGGGGGGGACTTTAAAAATTAAATTAAATCTAAATTTGGCCTCGCAATGGTGGGAGCCTTCCATTAGTCTGCAGAATTTTATAGATTTGATGCTCCCCCCCCCCAATCCGGGCTGAATTTGAACACGGGCTGGTGTGCTGACATTTCGCCTCTTCTCTGTCCCTAGAGGTCATCCGGACGAGGCTACGTGAGGAAGGAACTAAGTACCAGTCCTTCATCCAGACGGCCCGGCTGATATTCCAGGAAGAAGGATATTGTGCTTTTTATCGCGGACTCTTTGCCCAGCTTATGAGGCAAATCCCAAATACGGCTATCGTCCTGTCCACCTACGAATTGATTGTGTATCTATTAGAAAAGCAAGTTAAGTAGCTGTCCGAAGCCAGACCGTATGCAGCCAGTAACAAAGCAAAAATAGCACGACGATTGTGGGACAGTTCACACAACACACTAGAAAAAAAAACAAAACTTTGAAACGGACAGTCTGTTTTGGCTGGATGTTTTTTTTTTCCCTTTTAAGGAAGGGGCATTTTTCCTCTCTACACCCCCTTTTTCTGTACAATTTCCCTTCCAGCATCTTTGTTTTTAAAGGTACGTATGTTAATAGGTTTTTTTTTTTTTTAACTTAAATGAGACAAGGTTCAAAAATTAAAAGAATGACTAAATTAAATTATGCTATTTAATTTCTGTGGACAGCCTCTTCTTTTATATGCTCGGTTTTTTTTATCGTGGAAAGTTGCCATTCTGTAATTGGGAGATGTTTCTTGGGGGAAACAAAATATGCCAATTCCTGTGAAATGTTCACAAGGGCGTGGAAAATGGTTGGGATCCATCAGTCTAAGAGGTATTGGATATTTTTCCTTTTTTAATTATTTTCTACAGGAAATTTCTGATGGAAGTCGGATTGGAACGCCATCGCACAGCCTACATATTTATATACTGAATTTATTTTTCACCATATATGATCAGACCCAACAATATAAAAACAGGAGTTTGTGCCTTTCTTACTTTTTTAATATAGTATATAATTGCACGTGTGTTCTATTGAAATGGAATCTCAACAGACAGCTGAGCACTAGTAACTTTAGCTCAAATGGAGAAATTTAGGAACAGGCATCTCCCCCATATATATACAAATATACATATACATATACATATACATATATATATATATATATATACACACACACACACACACAATTTTTCAGAGAGGCAGCCTCTGGGCTTACAAGCTAAGCCAGGGGTCTTCAAACTTGGCCCTTTTATGACTTGTGGACTTCAACTCCCAGAATTCCTCAGCCAGTGTGCCTGCTGAGGAATTCTGGGAGTTGAAGTCCACAAGTCATAAAAGGGCCAGGTTTGAAGACCTCCGAGCTAAGCACAATTAAATCGTGTTGGGAATGGAATGGAGACCACCCAGCAATCACCAAGAAGGGAAATGGGACACTACTTTCATATTGGTGCCAAGTGGGGAAACTGAGTTGTGGGGAAAAGAGAAGGAGGAAGGCATGTGGGATAGGTTTGCCGTTTTTGAGATTGGTAAAAAATAAATAAAAGCGGAATACAAATAAGAATGAATGAATGCCAAATGAAACGCCTAAGGAAGGTGGGCTTCCAAACCACGCTGTCTTCTACCTGCGTAACTTGCAGATCGGGACTTAAGCAGGGGTCAAAGAAAGACACGATATATGTCCACAAACGCACTGAAGATGAAACTCGGGTGGGAACTTGGTCATTCCAAATTCCGAAGGGGTTTCCATCCCTCAAGAAGACACAACGAAAAGCCCATCCCGATCGTCACGGCCGAGGCAGGTAAAGCGTGACGGGTCCCCCGTCCCGGAAAGCCTCGCTCCGGCACGACGCGCTCCCCGCGGAAGCACGAGACAGACACCCTCGAATCCTCGCGCGTGGGTTGACTCGCTTCCCCCCCCCCTCGCCTGGCACGACGCTGCCCTTTCACGAGGCGACCCTTAGCCGCCCCCGCCGCCCACCTTCCTCTCCCTCCTCGGTGTATATAGATAAAGAACCGCGGCGGCGGCCGCTGCTGCGGAGACCGGGCGAACGCGTGCATAGAAGGGAGTCGTGGGGACGCGGTGCAGGCAGGAAGAGTCCAGATCGCGGCCTGCGCGTGCACGGAGGGTGGGTGGGTGAGTGGGGAGCGTGTAGATCCATCCATGCCGGGTGGGGGAGGGGAGAGGATCCGGGCTTGGTGGAAGAGGCGGAGCCGCGGAAGGTCAAACCAAGGGAAGGAGGAGAGAGAGAGAGAAGAAAAAAGGCGCTGATCCCAACCAGCCGCCGCCGCCGCCGGATTTCCCCTTCGAACGTTCGCCCCCAGGCGGCCGCGCGATTGGCTGCCGCGCGTTCTAAGCCCCCGGGGGGGCTGCGACTCAACGTTCCAAGCG